AAAAAAATTAAAAAAAAAAAAAAAAAGAAATGGCCCACATTTTGGGGCCACTTACCAGACTGAGTGAAGTAAACTACCTGGGGTAGGGACCAAGTAATCTTTGTTTTAACGAGCTGTACTAATGATTTTTGGGCACATTTAAATCTAAGAAACTTTGTTGTAAAATTAAAAAAAAGAAACTTTGTGCTAAATCAGCACTGTCCAGTATAAGTTTGTGCTATGATGAAAAATGTCTGTTTGTGAGACCCACTCATCACGTGGCTTTTGAGCCCTTAAAAGGTGGCTAGTATGACTGAGGCATAGAATTTTACATTTTATTTAATATTAGTTAATTTAAATAGCCACATACGGCTAGTGGCACTAGCATTTGATAGCACAGGTTTAGATCCTTTAGAGTCCCCCTATCTTGGAGGGGGGGGGCAGAAGTGGATTTTTTCCATTCCTTTAGAAATTAGAATATAGGACAAGACTATCCTTTAGACTTCAAATGAGACTAAGCCAATCATATAATAAAAGTTGGCACTATTTGCCCATTTATATTTACCTCTTTTTATCTAAAAGTTGACTTGATGTTAAGAAAATAGTAGGGTCAGAAAATAAATTTAGATCCGTGTCACAAAGGTTTTGAAAACAGCAGGGTAGCTGTTTTAGTGAGGCCTTGTGATCCTTCATGGCTGTGACTAACATGCATAATGTCTTGCAATATGACTTCTTAGGCTTTTTTCTTTCATATAAAGATTTAAGCTTTTAAGTGCAACATTGTAGTTTTCTAGTTCTCATTATAAAGCACCAGTTATGGAGAGTTCTCATTACGTTAGACTAGTTAATGGAGATTTTTTTTCATATGGAGAGTATTTTTGGTTACTTAGAGGATAGTTTTTCATTTTATAAAGGTAATCTTTGTTTTTAATAATATCCACCAAGGATCCTTTGAAAGGTTGAACCTTATACTCTGTCCCCTTCCAATACATTTAAAAATTGATTGGTAAAACATTTCCTTTACTCATACAGAGTTGTATATGCTTCTCTGCCTCTTTCTCCATCTACTTGTACTTCATATTTAAACTCCTAAAAGTCAAGGATAGCATTGACTCTAATATATTCATCAGTATCCATTGCAGTATTGGAGATTGTTTTCTGATTGACAAGTGGAAGGAAACGTAGCTGTAAAAGTAAATGAAGATGCACATGTAGAATCATAGCTTTTTGAAATGCTGTCCACACACAGTGAGTCTTTTCTAATAGGACCATAATTTTATTAAATATATTTGCCAGGTTTTAGGTTTTCAGGCAGGAGATTGTTAGTCATATAGGCAATGACTTTTGAAGCATAAGAGACAGTAAAGGGCATTCCATGTTGTTGATACACTCAGAGTGTTGATATACTTAGAGTGGGTAGGTTCCTTAAAGATCGTGGATAGGGCTGCAGGAATCACAAAATTGTCAATGCAACAGTGTCAGTTACTTTGTTTGTGGCATGAATTAATGTTGTGTTATCTTCCATTGGTGTTCATTAAAAAGCACCATTTCCCATGTTGTTGTAGGGATGGTCTTATATTCTCAGCGAGTGAAGATGTCCTGGTAGGTTGTCTCGGCAGGGGCTTCTGTGTAGCTGAAAATGACACGAGTATCACTGATTGGTGTGGCTCAACATTTTGTAACATGGTGCTTTGGGCTCTTTTGTCTGACTTTCTCCAAAGAGTTTCAAGTTCTTAATCTCTAGGTATATATTTGGACTGCTGCTTTGGAATTGAAAAATCCAGTCTGTTGGTACTGAGATCTGATAGTTGACAGATCTTACGTTTAAAATGTTTGCAGGTTCTTTGCTTCCAGTTTGTTTCCATCACTGTCACTGGTTCCTAGAGCTGTGACTGGAATGTGGTATGACATGTTACTAAAAGACTGATTTCATAAGCCATGGACAAATACCAGTCTCCTTATTTACACATACTAGTCGTACTCTGCCCACCCTTTTCCACTCTAGCGCAGCACTTCATGCTAGTAGGGCTCTCCCTGGGTGCTCTGACTTGCCCCTGTGCTCACTCTTGAACTAAGCTTTGTTGCTACCATCAGAGCTGTGCTTGTGGAGTTATTTCTAGTTTAAGCTTTATGCATTATCAGGTCTTACATAATTCAGCATCTCAACTAGATTCCTCTAAACCAAAGCCTCTTTCTGGCTTCTCAGGATTGCGGGAGAGTAGTTTTGGAAGGGAGTTTAGAGGCCATCTAGTTCAATTTCATCATCTTATGGATGACAGAATGGACTTCTAGTCATATAAGTATTTTGTGGGGCCATAGAGCTGGTCTACGGCCAAGTCAGGCTTAGAATTCAATTCTCATTTTACTAAATAGGACTCTTTCCCTGACTCTGATGGTGAAGGTCCTGAAACCCCCTGTGGGAGAATTACCTTAAGAACTTATGGGGATAGTATGGGGAAGTTGGGTTCTGAGATTAGAAGTGAATTTGTGAAAGGCTGAATAATTTTTTTTCATGTTCTCAAATAAAACAAAGATATCAATGAAACTTTACAGGTCTTAAATGAGTAGGAATGAGTGGTACTATTTTGGTAACTCTTGTTTACTATGTCTTATTTACTAGAAACATTTTGGCATGTCCTTTCCTTTTATATCATGGTAAAAGGCTTGTGGTACTATTTTGGTAACTCTTGTTTACTACTTTTTATTTACTAGAAACTTTTTGGCATATCCCTCCATGATATCATTGTGAAATCCTTTGTAAATTTACCTTTGCTTTATTGCAAATAATGTGAATGATAGTTTTTTTCCCCCACATCTGCATACACATTCAGTTTTTTAATTTAGGATTATTACGATAGGTTTTTCCCACACCCCTTAATTATTGTGATAATCATAGCAGCTGCCAATCACTGAACGCTTACTGTATGCCAGGTATGGTGCTAGGCTCTTGTGTGGTGTGGTTCTTAGGGCTGTTCACTGATGCCCTATTTTTGTTTCTCTTTTGGGTACCTGGTAGAATAGTACTTCTCCATCACCTTGAAGTTGAACATGGCTCTGTGACTTGCTTTGGATATTGAAAGTTGAGTACAAGTGATGTGAGACACTTCTAGGCAAATACCTCTTTTTTTTCTGAAAGAAATCTTCAGTGGTTATGTAGTGTAAGCAATAAGCCTATGCTTTAAACCACTGAGTTATTTATTAAAAAAATTTTTTTAACATTTATTTATTTTTGAGAGACAGAGCGTGAGCGGGGGAGGGGAGGGAGAAGGAAACAGAATCTGAAGCAGGCTCCAGGCTTTGAGCTGTCAGCA